AATTTTGCAGTCAAGGGAATCCAATCTGCTAGTTCTTTCTTGTATTCACTAGCTATCCTATCCAAGCTTGTCTTGCTTTTGAAAGTGACACATTTAATGAAGCCGGAGAATGTTTGCCTTCCTTTTCCCCAGGTCTTTACTAAGTGAAGATGGTAAAGGATCTTGTACTGGAACTGCATTCTTTTATTGTTTGTTTTTCTCCTTTTTTCGTCGCAATAGGATGTTGTTGAACCGCTGCAACTTCGGCATCAAAGATTAGTTTACAGTACTTTTTATGTTTGTCTGACAACAGGTTCCATGTGGGAGCTGGAACAATAGTTCGCTGTAAGCAAGTTATGTCTGTTATTTTCTGGAGGAAGATATCTTGAGGTGGAGTCTTGCGTGGAAATCAGCAAAGCCATGGTGGTGCAATTAACTAAGAGTTTGACATCTGCAACCAAACTTCGCTCTTTAATCTGTTATGCAACTGTATTGGATCGATGGAGCTAGTGTGCTTTAAAACTGAGTTTTGTTGATAAGAAAACGTCTGAGATGAGACGTGTTAATGCGGTTTCTTAATGATGATGTTCTTTTTGCCTTTCGAATAGACGCTAGATTGGGGTGGTGAGCTCGTTGGATTGGTTTTCTGTATGTTCATATTGTTATTTTTGTTTTAATTTTGGTGGTTGCAAGATTTGAAGAGCAAAATAGAATCAACGAGCTCCTGCTTGATGTTCATCGTCTGTACTGGCTGTGTGCTTTGCAAAGACGGTGGTGGTGATTGTGGCAGCGGTGATGTGGGTTGCGGGTTAGGGTGGTTTCAGGTGTGCCAAGGGTGGTCGTGGTGGAGGGGTGGTGGTGATGAAAAATGGTGATGGCGTTGGTCAGTTCTGGCTTGTCTAGCTAGATTTGGGAAAAGATTTCTACCTTCAAAAAGGGGTACATATTTCGTAATAATCAACTCATTTTTCATTGATTATACTTTCCATCGTATCCGATATGGAATATATATATATATATTTTGTCCGAAGTAAATGAACCAGGGACTCCGTTCCTAGGAATAGCAATCTCATCTGACCCCAAGAGTATAAGATCCGTAGAATGCCCAATAGCATACTACAGTAATAAGTTCTGTATTACTTTTTCCGTCCCAATTTAAGTGTTCACCACGGTTCTATGTGCCATTTTCAATGGCTTATATCTCTCAACATATATTACATTTTATATTTTTAAAATCATTGTCTTGCAGAAATAATTGGAAGCTATCAAACAAGATTCATATTGTATATTTTTAGCAATATACCTTGAAAGATATAAGTAATTAAAAATGACATGTAAAACTATAATGAACACTTAAATTGGGACGGATGGAGTAATGTTCTTGCCTGATTCTGAGGGATTTGGTATATTTAGTTCATGTTTTTAGGCTGCTTGAATTCAATGGTTGGTTTGCTGACAAAAAACAAAAAACAAAACAAAACAAAGGAACCAACCATTGAATTCAAGCAGCCTATTTCCGGACCGATAGTGTCAGTGTACTATGTTTTCTTATTTATATAATATATCTGGCATGATCTTGTTCGTCAAAAATAGGTTGACAACCGTCTTTGGGAAAAAATCGAACTGAATTGGTCCCGACGCTTCGGCTTCAATTATAAATTTGAGTTTTGGTAAATCAAGGGCTGGATTTAAGCTAAAACTTGTGTTGAAGTCGCATTAACCCTCCAAATTTTTTTGAATTTCGGGGGCTCCTCCTATTTATCTTACCCTTACAATAGCCCAAAAATGAGCCTCATTTTTTATGTTCGCTTAAAAGTCAGGGTCGACTCTGCCAAAACCCAATCCGAACCGATCTGTACCCATAAATATAAAATGGGATTAACTTGTATCACTTGCCTTTCGGATCGTCTCATCTAGAAAAGAATTGTGCTTTCTTTATCCCACAACAAGTGTTCATATCATTTAATACTATCCCATCCACATGACCCATTTCATCTTTAGCCTTTGTTTAATTGTTTCGAACTTAGAAAAGGAAGGAGAGAGAAAGAAAATAGGAGCAATTACAGAGAAAAGAAGAAAAAAGATGTACGTTGTTTTGTTATTTTCTTCTCTCCTCCACGAAAAAGATTTCTCTAAGTAAAAAAAAAAAAATCCTTTATTTTCTCTTCCATTCCTTAAGTTCCAAACAAAATGTCAATCCTTCGGAAAATGAAAAGCTGCCTTTACAAAGCACTTTCCCATTTTCCATACATAAATGTAGGATGTGGTAATCCCATTGGGGGATAAACCATATCCAACATAGCCATTAGCAAGTGGAGAAATTGCCACGTAGGCCCCAAGCAATCCTCTATCCCAATTTTCCTCTTCTCACCACAACCTCTCCCTTCACTCTCCATCCTAATCCACTCTTCCCATATCAACTTCTCTCACCTTGAGAACTACCCAAGATTCCCACAAAAGCATTTCACTTGTCAAGAAAGAGAAAGAAGAATAACAAATGGCCTCTACTCTGGCAGTTATGGCAGCCATGCCTTTAACTTCAGCCACCCAGAAGAGGTTTCCGGCCTCCGGTGCCGCCTTCAACCCATTGCCGGTCAGGCCCTCCAAGGCCGCATCGGCAGTGGTGGCATCGAAATCCGCCGGAAAGTTTGTAGTCAAGGCCTCACTGAGAGAGAAAGCGGTAACGGGATTGACAGCGGCGGCATTGACGGCCTCCATGATGATGCCGGAGGTGGCAGAGGCGGCTGTCTCACCTTCCCTCAAGAACTTCTTGCTCAGCATCGGAGCCGGTGGCATCGTGCTCGTCGTGATTATTGGTGCTGTGATAGGAGTTTCCAACTTCGACCCTGTTAAGAGAACTTGAGAGAAACACTTTGTAATCGTGCTTTGGCATTCTTTTCTTGCTATATGTGTATCTCTCTCATGTGTGCTGTAATGATCTGTAAAAATTTTATGAGTGTGCAATGGATGACTCCATTGGCTTTTGATTCTGCCAAAACCGTGCAAATCTCATAATCTATAAATAAATAAAAAAACGTAAGAGACCAGGAGTTCAACTCTTCTTTAAAAGTTCTGCTCTAGCTATACTAACTTCGATAAAAATGGTATACATACTTCTACTATAGAGACAGAATTTCAGCTCAATGCATTGAAATCGCATAACTACATCAGGTATAATTGAAGTGGAAAACTTGAATCAAGAATTAACATGTAACCAGACCTCGTTCTTGGCATGCACAAATACTGGTTTGCCAGGTTTTGATCATAGTATCACTCACTGCAATTTGAAGGTCTGTTTCTCATACCTAGAATCGTATCAAGCATCCTAACAACAACCTAAGCCACTGAATTTTGATTCGGATAACTATTAATTCAGCGATAATGAACCTTAGCAATCAAATCAAGCATGCGTTTGCTCTCCGCAGAATAATTCACCTTCTCTGCCTTAACCACTGTAATCTTCACCCTCTGTTCATCACCATACAATTCCTCTTCGATTTTCAGCCTAAAAAGATATTCTGCAAAGAGGCTTCCACGGATGATTTCTGCGAACTTAGCATCATCCTCCTCTTCGTATTTCAAAAAGTACAAATCCTTAGCCGGACAACCCAAGATCTCTTCGCCAGATTCCTGAAAAGCTGTTACCCATGTCAACCCAGTGTTGTCCTGAACTTGAGCTTGAAGAAGGTACCTGTAATCACACTCCTCAATTTCCTGATTACACCGGTCGCATTGCCACCTTGAATTTCCTGACCTAGTCACTTTCTTATTACACTGCCTATCTCCGATCATCAATGGACAAGCCGTGTAGCAAAACGTATCCGTTTTGATGAAAGATATGGTTGCTTTCACAGTAATCCAGTCTGGTTTATCTGATCTCCCAACCCTTCGTCCTTGATTTGGGACACAGTTTTACGTATCTCATTCTTTGGGCCTCCTGGATTAATGTCTCTAGAGATGGATTGCGATGTGGTGTTTTTCCCGCCTCGATCAAACCAAATCCTCAAGCTTTGAGCCTCTGAGGAATCCAAGTTGATGAAGAGCTGGGTAGACGAAATTGTCCCTATAGATTTCCCACTGAAGTCGTTAACTTTCCCAGCTTTGACGGCTAAAACTGGGAAAATTCCAGAGTCAACCATTTCCTGCAGATTTTGACCTTCCCTATTGCAGAAATCACCCCATAGAGTCAATTCAACACTCCGCCCGGATTGGTCCTTTAGATTCAGAATTCTTCTCTGAGTTTCCATACCATTTTTTCGCATGATAGAGACCGAGGGGTTTACAGCAGTTACGATACCAATGACATCTATAATGGAATTATTTTCGGCAATCTCAATTTCACTGATGGGTCGGAAGGAGAATTGTTGGCTTGGAATTGAAGCATCTTCATCCGGGCAAAGATCGATAGTTGAAGTTGCTTCCAAAAATATCTTCCATTCGTTTTTCAGATGGTTGAAGTTCTTCTGTGCTGGTTTCAAGCTACCCTTTGATATCAAATAGACTTTTCCAACCTCGATTATTTCATAGAAGCGGTCAAGAACAGCATTGAAACAGGTGGCACGAATTTCACCATCGGAATCAAGAAGGTCAAAGGAGAACACCTTCCCATCTCCACGGGCATTGTTATACCTGCGGATGTCTCCTTTTGCAGTTACTCTTGCCTTGATCGCCCACCTATGTTGATAAGGATTCAAAGCAGAAATTGGTATTATGCGATCTTGTATTTCCATGATTCTACAAATAAGAAATAGAAGGACTTGAGAATAGATACACATAAATGTGTTTAAAAAGAGTTGAACTAGTCCTCCACATGTACAATGCACTGAAACATTAATGATTAAACAGTCATACAATTACAGAATAATAAATTGGTGGAAACAAACATTCAAGATTTCAATATACAGGGCCAGCCCAATGGGAAGGCCCAGGCTGCTCCCTTGGGCCTGCACATTTTGGGCCAAAAAATGGGGCACGCCTTTCCAGATAAGTATATATTTTCTGTACGTAATTATAATACAAACTCCTTTGGTAGTTCAGTGGTAAAATGTTTGCTCTTCTACATAAAATGCCTAGGTTTAAATCCTGGTAGGGTAACAACAAAAATAAGGACGAATGCGGCTTGTCTCCACAAACGGACTTGAGGTTTCTTGCAGTATTTCAGGGCTTCACCGGAAGACAGGCTTCACCGGAAGAGAAATGTCGAATGAATCAAATGCTATTTTTGGTGGTGATGAATCAACTCGTAAAAGAAGACCGTCACCCATCAATCTTCAAGAACGGAATCAACTCATCGATTGGGCGGAGTGGATTGATGGTTTAGTGAAATGGGGTGGAGCGGAAGAAAAATAACAAATGGACTTTGTTATTTTTCCAAGATAGAATTACAATCAAGAAGGACGGATCCTCATTGAAAGTAAGAAAATTAAGTTAATCCTACTCGGAAGACAAAAATTAAGAACAAAATTAAGACTTTGATTTGTTGAGGGGTTTATAATGAGGCCTAAAAAGGTTATTTATAGGAAAACAAATATGTGCAGGAAATAACTTTCTAACTTTCCATTACTCTTCATTCTTCTAATTTGCTTCCAAGTGACCAAATAACTTTCCGTCAACTTCAAAATGTGTAGGAGCACGCCAAGTGTTCTACATGCAAATAACAATAATAAAAGAAATACTAATACTAGTTCTAATATTAATACGAATACTTAATAATAATAAAATAGGTTGCATTACCATAAACGCCACTTTTCGGTCGATCATCGACAAGCGGTGAAATATGGTGCAAACATGTACTTTTTTGAAGTGTCTTTTTGCCAAAAAAATTTCTCCTATCACACAAATTGGGACTGTTGTGATTCAAACATGAGTCCACCAAATATTATTGCAACCGCACAAGCCATTAAGGCCGAAATATTTATCATGTTGAATAGTATGAATAAAAATGATATATAGATAAGTATTTCTGTTTATTATTTTTAAATTAGGAAATTTATGTAGGATACTATTCCACCACTTAGCTTAAAACATCTAAATACCTTGGACCGACCTTGCAAATATGAGGTACCCACATATATTTTAACCAGAAAAAGGACGATAGTGAAGGATGAGGTAAGTTGAATCTGATATATCCAATATCTCAAAATAGGGATGTATAAAAGTAGCCATCTTAAGTTCTATACCGAGTCCTGCTATCAGCAGGTAGGGATAGTTTGCAGGGAGCCACACAGGGACAAACGCGTTTAGTCTTATTTCGGGTCTTCAAAAAATTTAGAAAAATATTCATAAATTTTTGAATATTATTTTATGGGGTCCTGTAAAAAATCAGCTCATGCGGATATCGGTAAGTATTACTTTTCGATTCGTAAGGGCGAACGAGCAGTTTTGCCCCTACGAATCCAAAAGTAATACTTACCGATATCCGGATGAACTGATTTTTTACAGGGCCCATAAAATAATATTTAAAAATTTATGAATATTTTTATAAATTTTTTTGGGATCCAAAATAGAACCAAACACATTTATCCCTGCATAATTCTCTGCAAATTGTCCCTGCTGTTAGAATTTTCGAATACAGAAAACTAGAACCTGCTGCTACTCAAAGGGCAACAATAACTAAGAGGTATGGGATACTTTTTTCCAATGGTGAGAAAAGCATGAAAGTCTCCACGATGAAGAGATGAGTGAACCCTTAAAGCAAAAAAGTAAGTCATTCTGAAAGAAAAAATTGGATAGAGAAATCAACAACAGGTGCTTACAACAACACGCCATGATTTCAGAATATAAGCTTTACAAATTAAGGTAGAGAAAAGGGCATGGCTTCTCATACAGGGCCACGGTGATTCCATTCCAGTTCTCAAAAGTGTACTACTAGTATTTAGACACGAAGGTGGAGGAATCGAAGTAAATAACAGGAAAAAACTGAAATTACGTCCTCATATTTATGGGTTTTTTTTTTTTTGGTTTTCTTACAATCGAATGTACATTAAGGGAGAGGGAAGCGAGAGACTCAAACCTGTGACAGAGAAACCGGTTGGAAAGCAGTCGGGAGAGAGGAGTTGGTAGTGGTGCTGCGTTGGTGGTGGGGGTCGTTGGTTGGGAAAATCCAGTGGTGGTGGATAAGTGGTGCGGCGTCGGTGGTGGTGGTGGGCCGGTCGATCGGTGGGGGCTCCGATGATGGTGGGCGTATGTGGGAGCTCCGCTGGTTGTTGGCCGGCGTATGTGGGAGGCTCTGGTGGCGTTGGTGCTGGATCGTGGAGAGAGCGAGAGAGAGTGTACTGATTACTGGGAGGCTCCGCTGGTGCTCTTGAATATTGGTTTTCAAATTCAAACAGCAGGTAAAAGCAGGGACTGGGATCCCGACCTCCACCGCGATCCTACGTGGAAAGGTAAGAGGTCCACTCCTCTGCTTCTCGCAGAAGCTTCACAATTGCGCTCGAGAGAAAAAGAAGAGAAATGCACCTCAAAATTTTGGGAAAGGAGCTTTATAAAGTAACCCATTTTCTAAAGAGGAGTCATATGTACAAAAACAGATCACTCCATTCACCTTGTGGGCCCAATAAGTCTACACTTCCCGACCCATTTCCCCGATTTCTTTCCCGACGCTGACGTGGCGGTGGGCCCCACGTCAGCAGCTTAAAAAAAAAAAAAAAACAAAATGCTGAAATTTTGATTTTCCCCCGAAACCAGGCCTTCTTCCCCCAAATCAGATAGACCATCAGAAGAGCCACGAAGAGAGAAAGAGGAGGCGGAGGAGGACCACCGGCCACACCCACCCCCACCACCGGCCACACCCACCACCACCCCCGGCGACTCCCACCAGCCTCACCCTCCACGTTCGGCGACCACCACCAGCCTCACCCTCCACTTCCGGCGACCACCAGTAGCGGTAAAAATCTCCTGGGCCCAGCAACGATACCACCACCGGCGCCGTTACCCGACAACCAAGGTCTCGTTTTCTCTCTTTCTGGGCTGTCGATGACCCCTACGATTTCAGTCAATTCCAGCTTTTAATTTCTCTGTAATTTGCTCAAACCCAAAAAAATTAGGGCTTTTAAAATTGGGGATTTTTGGTCTGGTCATCATCTCGTTCTAGCATGAAATAATTTGATCATATCTCTCTTGTTTTGGTTCTTTTCAGTATGGATTTCCTATATATTCCGCAAAGGCCGTGCGATTTCGAATGCAACATCCCAGGTCTCCTATTGGAATAGGAAGTGATTCGGGAGAATGCGACATCCTCAGAAGCATTCCCTGTCACCCAAAATATAATGGTATCTTCTTTTCATCTTCTTTCATCCTCTCAGCATATTTATTGATGTCGAAATCTGCTTTATTTTTACCTCCAAAGGTAGACTCGAGCTGGTCCATGTCAAATAGGTTGTCCATTATTTTCATGGTTTTAGGATCATCTGAGTAAACAAATCTGACTTTGTCGGCAGTCTTGGGTTCTAAAAAAGGTTTCACCACATAACAAAAACACAGGGCACTCCCTTACTGTGATCAAAGGGCACTCCCTTACTCCATTTCATCAATACTTCTGATTCCAACCCTATCCTTATAACAAAAACACAGGGCACTCCCTTACTGTGATCAGAGGAACCACTTTTTTTAGTTTTCTTCTATACTTGTTTTACCACCATAAAAGACATGAAAGAAAGATCCACTTCTGGTCACAGTGAGAAGGCACAATCAGAGGAAAAAAATGAAATGACCATCCAAAGAGAAACGGCAAGAGCACGGTGATGGAACTAAAGATTTGGGTAGTATTATTTAATTTACTTTCGCTTACTAGAGTTTGGACTTCGAAGTTCCCGACCGAGGGTGCAGATGTTAAATCATAAGAAATGGATAGTTTATACTACATATGGTTAGTTTGTCAAATTTTGGGTTGACCCTATGTCCTTGATGTTGCTTTGATTTTGATGTTCCTACTCTGCATGTTTGCTGCAGAATTTGTTATTTGTCCCTTTGTCATTTTCAGTTTACTGGAGCTACCACTTTATTGCTCATGCATCAAATGCATCTTATCAGCATAGGCTGCAGATGGGTGGAGTAAGCATTGTTGAGAACATGCTCACAGATGGGTGGAGTAAGCATCAGAGATCCAATAGCTGTGGAATTGCTGGAGGGCATGGAATGCTAGAAGATGGAAAGAGAAGAAGGTTTCCGCAACTCAAACAAAGCAGTAAAGATGCAGAATCATTCCGTGGCAAAGAAGAGTAGAATGAATTTGATAGAAAAAAAATGGAGATGTAATTACTAGGCCTATTTATCCTACAATTGAAATACTAGAATGTAGTGTATTTTTGTTTTGCAAATGAGGTTTAAACCATTTGAGAGGAGAATGTAATCTTATTTATTTGGATGTGAATGATAATTAGCATGAGAATGACTCCATCTGGAACTATGTGGTTTTATGGTTTTTGTTGTGAATGGATAACTTGACAATGGATTTTGGCTTGTAAATGGTGATTTAGAATGAGAAATGCCTGGCGTGGGCTTGTGCGTAACTTGATGCTATTCCTGTTGTTATTGTTGTTGTACTGACTGAGACGCGAGACGTCGGGCTAGGACCAAAAATAAGGGAGACTCTGCCGAAATTTTTTCAGAACTTACCTTTGGGATTTGTTTTTACATTATACCAAGTCTATACTTAACTAAAAACCATACTTCCATGTGCTATAAACTAGCATTACTTCCATACTTCTAGGTGCTAAAAATCATACTACCATTTTACATTCATACTTCCATGTGCTTCTAGTTACAATTTCGGAATGAACCAACAAAAAAAAAAAGTTGCATCACACTAGAAACCTATCATCCATAGTAGCATTAAACTTGAAACAACAAACAAAGATTAACTAGGATACGGAGCCGTGTCCGACACGCTTGCGATACGGATCAAGAGTTCCATTGCACCAAATATAGCATTAAACTTAAAACTACAAACAAACATTAACTAGGACACGGAGCCCTGTCTGACACGCTTGCGATACGGATCAACAGTTCCATTGCACCAATAGTAGCATTAAACTTAAAACTACAACCAAACATTAACTAGGACACGGAGCCATGTCCGACACGCTGGCGACATC